CAAAATGTTTTGAAAACCTCTCAGTGCGGCGGGTGATCTAAGACCAGTCGTTGTTTGCTGAATTCAGAACCGCTAATCCAGTGGTCATTCAAAGGCTTGTTGCCATGGATGCCATAGGCCTAACAAAGTCTGGTCTGGTGCCACGGGCATTAAATTTGAATAAAGAAAACCTTGTGGGCTTAGTGAAGGAATCACTTCAGACACTTCACTGTCCACAGTAGCTTATTAGAATTTGGAGAGTTTAGCAGAACAAGCGTAAAATCAGCAGCCGAGCCACAAACCAATCAAACTTTAGGGGCAAAAGGTCAATACTCCAAAAACTAGGCTTTAGATGTTCTGACTTAAAAGAAAGAAGTGAAATTGCTAACTTAACCGATAATGCCAGTAATCGCTAACAAAAAAAGGCAAATCACTGACAAAAAAAAGACAAATTTTAGCGGATGCAGCCGCAAGTTGACTGCAGAGCATTCCTGTCATCCGTTAAATCTGATAAACTGAACAAGATCTGTTGTCTTTATCAAAAACCAATTGTCTTCAAACAAAATAATAACTGCTGTTGCTTCCTCGAATCCACTGCAACCTTTGAATTTTAAACTGATTATTTACCTAGTCGTAAGCCAATATTCATCCGTGCTCAGCTTGTTATATGAATACTAAACATCTCTTGCAGGTTTTTGGCCTTTCCTGTTAGACCGCGGTAATCTCCGCTTCTACTCGTCCAATTTGCGCGCTTTAAAATGTTTTAGAAACCTTTCAGTTTGGCGGGTGATCTAAGGCCAGTCTTGTTTTGCAATCATCAAGTTATTAAGGCCAGTGGTCACTGCAAAGCTTGTTACCATGGATGCCATAGAGCTAACATGGCTGGCCGGTTACCACGGGCACATTAAATACTGCACTCAAACAACAAGAAAAGCTTCGTCTTCGCGTCTGCGTTTCTTCTTTTCACGGGCTGAGTGAACAAGTCATTTCGGCCACTGCACTGGCTAAAGCAGCTTATTAATTTGGTAATTTCAGAATCCGGTCTCTGCATTTGCTAGGAGTAGCTTAATAATTCAGAAATTTCAATAGAGTAAAAAACCTAGCAGGCGAGCAAAAAACAATACAAACTCTGGGTGTAAAAGGTCAATAACGCAGTACGCTCGCCGCGGACAACCATCTTGAACACTTGTCCGGCTTTGTCATTCTGACTTTTCGGGAAACTGGATTACATGCTAAGCAATATGCTGCACATGAAATACAAAGTTTTAAAATCGTCGTAAGCCAATATTCATCCGTGCTCAGCTTGTTAACTACATCCGTAACAACCATGACAGAGTAAGGTTAAAAAACCTATGTTTGGGAGAACGGGTAGGCCGATTTCAACGCGGTCAAGTGCGCCAGAACCGCTGCAACAACGCGGTGGATGTTACGCTATTACCGAGACGATGCGCCTCGAGGGGAAAAAAGGGGACCGGAAAGGAAAGTTGTTACCATGGGCCTCCATAGACATACATGGACAAGTTGTTCCCATGTGTGTAAATGACACGACACGCCTCGGCCAGCGGCCTCGATGCGAACAAAAACAAAAATAATTAATCACCAAAAGCCGACGCCGATAATTGGTTACGGATGTAGTCCTCCGTAAACTGTTATCTACATCCGTAACCACGTATACACGATTGATAATGTAGCCAATGTTTGGGCGAACGCCTGAACTGATTTCGACGCGGCCAAGTGCGTTAGAATCGTCTCAACGGTGCGAAGGTTCATACCCTATTCCGGAATCGATACGCCCCAGAAGGGAAGGAGCAACCCCAAAAAACAAACTGTTGCCATGGGCCCCCATAGAAAAACATGGGCAAATGCATTGTCTGTTCGCGGACCGTTCAGGAAAACCGAGGCAGACCGCAGCCTTAGGCATCGGCACGTTACAAAATATTGAAAATTCAGGAAACATATGCAAAAATTAATCGCAGTCAATCCCACCAGCCGACCAGCGTGTTCGATATACTGTACCTCGTATTTTATCTACATCCGTAACCACGTATACACGATTGATAATGTCGCTAATGTTTGGGCGAACGGCTGAACCGATTTCGACGCGGCCAAGTGCGTTAAATTCATCTCAACGGCGCGAATGTTCTTACGCTATTGCGCCATCGATACGCCCCAAAAGGGAAGGAGTAGCCCCAAAAAACAAATTGTTGCCATGGGCCCCCATAGATATACATGGTAAATACATTGTCTGTTTGCGGGCCGTTCGGAAAAACCGAGACAGACCGCGGCCTTCGGCATCGGCACGTTACAAAATACTGAAAATTTAAGAAACATGTGCAAAAATTAATCGCAGTCAATCCCACCAGCGTGATTGGTATACCTCGGATTCTTTCATATACGATATTTCTTAGATATCTTAGGTTTCTTAAGTTTTCTTAGGTTTCCTAGGTTTCTTAGGTTTTCTTAGGTATTCTCAGGTTTCTTAGGTATTCTTAGGTTTCTCACGTTTCTTAAGTTTCCTAGATTTCTTGGGTTTCTTTGCTTTCTTAGGTTTCTTAGGCTTTCTTAGGGTTTCTCAAGTTTTCTTAGATTTTCTCTTTCTTAATTTTCTTAGTTTTCTTAGCGGCTGAGACCAATGCAATCAACCGTTGCGAAGTGTGCATTGCGTAACAAACTTGCGCCGCAAAATTTGCGCCGAAATACCCGGGTCTAACCACGCGTTTCCGGGTCCGACCAAAGAATCCGGCCGACCAAGAGTTTTTCTCAGTCCTGTTACAGGTAAACGGATGTTTAATAATTGTTATCTACATCCGTAACCACGTATACACGATTGATAATGTCGCTAATGTTTGGGCGAACGGCTGAACCGATTTCGACGCGGCCAAGTGCGCTAGATTCGTCTCAACGGCGCGAATGTTCTTACGTTATTGCGCCATCGATACGCCCCAACGGGGAAGCAGAACCCCCCAAAAACAAACTGTTGCCATGGGCCCCCATAGGCTAACATAAGCTAATGCGGAATGACAGAGACAGACCGCGCCCTTCGGCATCGCTTCGCTAATAATTCATGGAAAACTGTGAAAAACGCTACAAAATAAAGGTTGCTTATATTTCTTCGGAGTCTTAAGTTTTCTTAGGTTTCTTAGTCTTCTTAGACTTCTTAAATTTTCTCAGAATTATTCTCACATTCTTAGTTTTCTTGGGTTTCTTAGGGTTTCTTAGGTTACTTGTTTTGCTCAAATTATATTTCCAGTTTTCTTGAGCGGCTGAAATCAACCTTCGTCGAACTAGTGCACGACACAAAATTTGGTGCGGATGTAGATACCGTAAACTGGTTATCTACATCCGTAACCACGTATACACGATTGATAATGTCGCTAATGTTTGGGCGAACGGCTGAACCGATTTCGACGCGGCCAAGTGCGTTAAATTCGTCTCAACGGCGCGAATGTTCTTACGCTATTGCGCCATCGATACGCCCCAAAAGGGAAGGAGTAGCCCCAAAAAACAAATTGTTGCCATGGGCCCCAATAGATATACATGGTAAATACATTGTCTGTTTGCGGGCCGTTCGGAAAAACCGAGACAGACCGCGGCCTTCGGCATCGGCACGTTACAAAATACTGAAAATTTAAGAAACATGTGCAAAATTAATCGCAGTCAATCCCACCAGCGTGATTGGTATACCTCGGATTCTTTCATATACGATATTTCTTAGATATCTTAGGTTTCTTAAGTTTTCTTAGGTTTCCTAGGTTTCTTAGGTTTTCTTAGGTATTCTCAGGTTTCTTAGGTATTCTTAGGTTTCTCACGTTTCTTAAGTTTCCTAGATTTCTTGGGTTTCTTTGCTTTCTTAGGTTTCTTAGGCTTTCTTAGGGTTTCTCAAGTTTTCTTAGATTTTCTCTTTCTTAATTTTCTTAGTTTTCTTAGCGGCTGGGACCAATGCAATCAACCGTTGCGAAGTGTGCATTGCGTAACAAACTTGCGCCGCAAAAGTTTGTGTACGGATGTAGATCCCGTAAACTGGTTATCTACATCCGTAACCACGTATACACGATTGATAATGTCGCTAATGTTTGGGCGAACGGCTGAACCGATTTCGACGCGGCCAAGTGCGCTAGATTCGTCTCAACGGCGCGAATGTTCTTACGTTATTGCGCCATCGATACGCCCCAACGGGGAAGCAGAACCCCCCAAAAACAAACTGTTGCCATGGGCCCCCATAGGCTAACATAAGCTAATGCGGAATGACAGAGGCAGACCGCGCCCTTCGGCATCGCGTCGCTAATAATTCATGTAAAACTGTGAAAAACGCTACAAAATAAAGATTAGATAAAATAAAGCTTAAATAAAGATCTTAGGTTTCTTAGTTTTCTTAGACTTCTCAGGTTTTCTCAGAATTATTCTCGCATTCTTAGTTTTCTTAGGTTTTCTTAGGTTTCTTAGGGTTTGTTAGGTTACTACGTTTTCCTCAGATTTATTATATTTCCAGTTTTCTTGAGCGGCCGGAATCAACCTTCGTCGAAACTAGTGTACGACACGAAATTTGGTGCGGATGTAGATACCGTAAACTGGTTATATGAATACTAATTATCTGTGCCAGACCTTCGGCCCCTCTCCTTTGAGGCAAAGGATCTCGGCTTCTACTTTTCCAATTTTGCCACTTTAAAGTGCATAAGAATGCTCTCAGCGCAGCGGTGGATCTAAGATGGTCAACCTTTTGCTAAAATCATTTGGCTGGGTCCAATGGTCAGCCATAAGCTTGTTACCATGGACGCGATAAGAAATGAAAAAGATTCTTGCTGGAGAATCTGAGTATAACGAGGTCAAAACGGCTGACCCTTTGCTGTTATGAATGGATCGAAAGCGGATTCCGGACCTAAAGCGGATCCAGACCTATCTGCACTCAAGCCTATATATAGCAGCGACCACGCACCAACCTGTTTTCAGTTAGTTCTAAACTTTTGCCTGTTCGGCTTCTTTTCGTGAGGTTTTTCTGATACTGTGTAATAAGTAGTAGTAAAATGGTTCAGACACGAGAAGAACTGGAAGCACAAATGTGTGATGAGTTAAGGGGCATTTTGAAGGGTTTAAACTTAATCACCACCGGCAACAAAGACGTTCTGATTAAGCGTGTCCTTGATCACCAAGCGGATTCATCCACCAACAACAGCACCAGCAAGCAGCCAGAGCTTGAACTATCCTGCGGAAGTGTTGAGGGATTAGCCGAGATAGTAGGCCTGGGTGAAGCCGCTATAACCATCCTGAAGAATCAGCGATTCACGACCGTCGAGAAGGTCCTCACCTTGTCAAAAGAAGATCTCTGGGAGCCGCCCCTCAATGCCATTCCTCTCTGCGACCGCAAAGATTTGCTGACCTACATCAATAATTCCGGCCGCAACGGAGACTCTGTCATCATCGTTCCCCCGCTAAAGGTCACCAAAGCCGATGCCGCAGAAATCAAACCGGACACACGCCGCAACATCCTGCCAGATGACCTTGACCTCCCATCACAACGAAGCAGTCCAACCCGTTTCTTTGGCCCAGCGAGAATTGGTGAGTGTGACCTAAGAGAAGTTTTAAATTCTAAAGGTGACTTGTCCAAAATTGCTCGTAATTTACCGCGACCGCATACTGTTGTGTATTCCCGTGCGCAAGCAGATAAGAAGAAAACGGTTGGTGCTCTGGATCTCACTTACGAAGAGTTTATGAGCGGTTCACAGATGCTGATAAGTCAATTGAGTACGATGCCGGGTCACTCTGAAACTCTCAGAGAATATGCTGAGTATATTGCGTTTCTGTCGAGCAAACGCCGCCATTACGATCCGCTGGCTATTTTAGAATTTGATGATGCCTTCCGGCAGTACGCCGATTTTGCACACTGCTCGTTAAATGATTTCAGTGCGTGCGCTTATCTAATTCATGACAGTTTTCATGCGGGCACATTGTTGACTACAGGCGGGTATCGTGGTAGAGGAAATCGTGGTGGTCATGGTGGTTATGGTGGTTACGGTGGGTATGGTGGCTATCGTGGTAATGGTGGTCCTCATCGGTTTCGCGGGCGTGGCCGTGGGTTCAACCACGGCCGGGGTCATGGTTACGACATGCCGCTCGGATGTTGTTTTGCCTTCAACGAAGGACACTGCTATTACGGGGAGAGTCAGTGCGGATACGAACACACCTGCGCCAAGTGTCGCCGGAGAGGGCACAACATGCAAGATTGCCCACGCAACCAGGACGGAAACGGACGTGGAGCCAAGAGCGGCGGGTAGTGAGAGTTGTTGGGTCGCGAACCATGGTTTGTGTGTCAAAAATGCTGTTGAAAATGGCAATGTTTTGGGTACAGATAATCATTTTACTGCCAAATCAATCCATGTATTTTCTGAAGTGAATCATAACGCGAGTAATTTTATTGGTTGTGGCGAAACTGTTGTTATTAATAAAAATGTTGAAAATTGTTCAGACGGTTTGGCTGATGAAGAAGTTCGACAATGTAGTCCTTTATCACGTAAACTGGTTGAGTGAAGAAAATATTTAAAAGATGATCCAGATCGGGAATTCATTTTAGATGGTATTGCACACGGTTTTCGTTTAGTGGATGACGCCGTTAATGTTTCCGCAGCCGAATGTGAGAATTACAATAGCGCACTGTCACCAACAAATAAAGGTTTTCTTGACGAAATTTTTCGTGATGAATTGAATTCTGGTAAAATAAGTCGGCAGTCGTTCAAACCAGTCAGGGTACATGCAATCGGCGCTGTGCCAAAGAAAGACTCGGACATTCCGCGTCCGATTACCGATTGCAGCAGGCCACATTGTGACTCACTGAACTCCTACATGAACCCGGATCAGTTTTCCTTTGCAAGTATCGACGATGCCATTGCGCAAAGTGCAGCCGGTTGTTATTACGGTATTGTGGACATAAAAAATGCATACAGGCAGGTACCGGTTTTTCCTGCCCACCGGCAATTTCAGGGATTTAAATGGGAACTTGACGGGGTCACGTCATACTTTATCGATAACTGTTTGTGTTTTGGCTTAGCATGTGGCCCCGCAATTTTCCATCGCATTTCATGCGCAATTGCCCGTATTGCGAGATTGATGGGCATAATTATTGTTCCTTACCTGGATGATTTTTTAATTATTGCGCTTACCTGGTATCTTTGCGTAACTGCACAAAATAAGTTGATTGAATTATTGATTGCTCTCGGTTTTCCAATTAACTGGAAGAAAGTTGTTCCACCAACTCAACGGGTACAATTTCTCGGTTTGATTTTGGACTCTAACAATGAGATGATTGAACTCCCTTATGAAAAAATTGTTAAAATTGTGAAACAATGCGAGTCTATACTTTTGTTTGAGAAGGTCACGAAAAAAGAGCTGCAGCAACTAGTTGGTCACTTGTGTTTTGCGTCTCGCGCCGTTCGTGGCGCTCGCACCTTTTCTCGTTTGTTTATTGACTTTATGAATACTTTAAGGGAAATTCACCACCGAGCAAGAATAACAGCACCCGTAAGACATGAGTTGTTGTGGTGGATTAAGGTAGCGCCAATGCTTAATGGTATTTTCTCTTCCAAATTCGGGAAGGAACGTCGCCGTGTGTTTGTCAATACTGATGCATCATTGGGTGGGTTCGGCGCTGTTATGGGAAATAGTTGGGTAGCTGGGGCCTGGGACGATAGTTTTGTTCCTGCAGATATGTTAATAAAACGATGCTGGTTGTTAGCCCCCCATGTGCACAACAGTTTAAAAAATAACATCAATTTTCTAGAGCTGATTGCAGCCTGTGCAGCAGTGTTGGTGTGGTGTCAGGTATTCCGTGGATGCGAAGTGGTCATTGTCAGTGACAATGCATCAACGGTAAGTTTTATAAACCGTGGAACGACTGCAAACATTCATGCCCTCAAATGGTTAAAGTTGTTATTTCATGCCTCGTGTGACTACGACTTTGTTGTTACCGCTAGGCATGTCGCAGGTGTTGATAACGATATTGCTGATGCGCTCAGCAGATTGTCGGAGGGCGAAACACAGTTAGCACGGTTCCTGTCAATTTATGGCGCGCCACATAGTCATGTCGGCGTGTATAAAGAGTGTTTTTACAGGTATCCGAACGCTATTACTTCAAAAAACTTTGAAGAGATTACAGCTTTCAGCTTATGCGCCAAAGTCGCTGAAAACGCGGAAAGTACAGTGGGAGAAATATGAAACGTTTTGCGCCAAGTTCCGTCTGATCGCGGTCCCAGCAGAGCCACGGACGCTTGCTTTGTATGTTGCGTATTTGTCAAAAACGATGGAATACTCCTCGGTTGCAAATTATCTCGCCGCGGTTGCAAGTTTACACCATAATTCTGACCATCCCGCACCGGATTTGCAACATTACTCTGTGCAGCAAGCACTAGCCGGTTTAAAGCGGTTGCGGGAAGAACACCCGAAACGAAAAGCAGGCGTGAGTGTTGAACATTTGTTATTGATTTATTCTCATTTGAACCTGGTTCCTGCGCATTGTAGAGAAACTTTTTGGTGCGCTTGTCTTTTCGCCTTTTACACCCTGTTGCGGCGAAGTAATTTGTTTTGGTCCAAAGATAATAAATCGTTTTTGCGCGCTCAGTCCGTGAAGTCATCAGGTACAATATTGATGGTTACTGTGCCCGTTTTGAAAACGGCGAGGTTTATGGGGCAAACAATAACTGTTCCTGTGAAAAGTGTCCCAAATTCTGTGTTGTGTCCAGTGAAAGCACTCCTGGCGATGAACGCCAGGATAACTTTATCACCGTCAGACCCGCTTTTATCGTACAAAAATCTGAAAGGTCACATAGTTCCACTGACGGCGCAAAAATTTACTGAGTATCTACGAACTATTTTGAAGTTTGTAAATCTGCCGTATGGTTTATTTTCTCCCCACTCTTCCGGAGAGGCGGGGCGACATTCGGTATGTCTAGTGGTTCAACGGCAGAAGAGCTAAAAGCTCAAGGTGGTTGGCGCAGTGCATGTTTTGAAAAATATGTGGAACGTGACGCAGCGCTGCAAAAACGCTTCGTTATGAAGGTGTCTGGTGGTGTTTCTTCTGGGTTGCTTGGGCATGTAAAACCCGTCAAATAAAACGAAGTTGTTCATGTTGGCAGACTTTGTGTGTTTAGGTCAAGATGTTGTTGTTCTTGCGAAAATTGTTGCCGTCTGTTGTACATGCATAGATCATGAGTTGAACATCCGGTGCACAACACCGCGCCCAAATAAATATCCCATGCTCTTTGTACAACATCGGTTTCCGTTTGTCCTCGACGTTTGACCGTAGTTATGCATACAGTTCTGGGTCAAGTTGTGTTAGAACAGTAGAAATACCTGTGCTCCCACAAAACAATAAGCACAATAAGTAAGCACAATGCAAAGTAAAAATTCATGTTAAAATGTCAGTCATCAGCGCAAAATGCAACTTACGTACAGTATAATATAGACGGTCCTGGTTCCTATTAACTTACAAATATATACAGTCACTACAGCGTGTCAAAATAATTATTGCTAAATACACGTACGGGTTTCGCAATATTATAACAGTTTGTAAGCAACCAAAATTCAACACATCCTTGAAATTACTAATTCTTATAGTCATCAGCCAATATTCATCCGTGCTCGGCTTGTAATTAATATTAATTATGCCAAAATGGCAGCGCATCGCTCAGTTTCGTTGTATTTATGCGCATTAGCACAGGATAGGCTTGCACGTTGCTGCGCGCCGGTACGAGTTTGTATGCAGATTGCATAGCAACTAAGTGTCCGAACGTTTCGCCAGCGGTGCTTACAATCGTAATGATCATTAGATTAATTATTATTACCGAAAAAATTTATAATTTACTTAAGTACTTTAGTACGAGTACTTGGTTACTTCATTTTAGCGAGTGCTGAGAAGCACACGTGCTATTTCACGAGCAACCGACGGACACGTGGTGAATCGTGACAGTACCGTATGATGGTTGTCGCCATTTGCGTAAATGTACCTGCAGTTTGCTGTGCACTCGCGATTCAGACTATGCGTCTGCCTTTTCAAGTTATGTAGAATTCGTAATTGATGAACCATTTTTTGCTGTCTTTCGGTTACTTATTAGTCCTGGCCTTTAATTTTCAGGAAAAGTGGGGAAAACTTTAAGCAGCCAGCTGACTGTAAATGCGGAGGTAAGTCGGCTTAAATGTATGGCAAGCCCGAGTGGACTAAAGTAGAGAAAACACTAAACTATGTCGAAAGATTAGCCAATTGTGAGAAGGTCTAGTCTTTACCCAAAATCATTAAAGTTTGTCTGCTTTTCTGTGTTGTTTTTTTGCCGAGCGAAGCGAAGCATTCTATACTTCAGGCCAGTCCGAATCTTTCGTTGTTTGTGTGTCTCTCTGTCTGTCACCACGATTGCAGATGATCCCAAAGACCAATCGCTTCAAAATTTTTAGGATGAAATTCTGTCATAATATCTCGGTTAAGTTCAAATTTGAGCTGGATCTGGCCACGGGATAAAAACTGGGATTTCCGTTAAAATCTCATACTGCTTAATTGTATCAGCTACCAAAGCGCTCTGTGCAGAGCTTTAGGATGCTGTGCATCTTATGTGCAGTGTGCAGATCTGCAACGCACGGTTTCAGTAATCAAAAATGCACTAAAATCATAACACGGTTTTCAAATCACAAATCAAAATCGAATCACGATTTTCGTCGTCTGGAATTTATCGGAATCCAAACAAAAACGAGTTAACCCTATAGTTTGGATAATGAGGGAAGATTATGGAGCTGAAGCTCCGCACTTGGCTTCTGAATTTGGACTGTTCAACTTGGGTTTCTAACTGGGACTTCTCAACATGGACTTCCACTTCCTAGGTAGCTTCAGTTTATTAGAGTTCAAAAATTTACTAGAGTTTTCTAATACTTTTTAGGATTTTGAGATCTTAGGTTTCTTAGGTTCCTTTGGTTTTCCTGGGTTCTTAGGTTCCTAGGTTTTTGGGTTTTTCGACTTCACAGAATTCCTTGGTTTCTTAGATTTCCTGGTTTTTTAGGTTTTTTAACTCAAGTTGAAAAGTGCTTGTCCATTTGTAAAGTCCAAGTTATGCAATCCATGTTAAATACACACACACACTGTATGTGTGTTGTGTCCATATGTTGAACATTTGTACGCCGGGCTTAAGAATATCCGAAATTCCCGTTTTTTGTTGACCCACAACATGAAAAACAGTTATGGGACGAACACTTCGATCTCACTAATGCTCACACAAGAGAGCGGCTATAGTGTAATTTGAAAGATAGTCGAGCATTAGCTAGCCGCAGAAGGTTGGAAGAGTGGATGCATAGCGTTCAACAATGATTCTGTGGTCACCTTTTGGGCCTTCACATTCGCGAGGCTACGTTATACACGAAAGAGGAGTGTATTCATTTTAAAAAGTTAATTTATAGTTTAAACTGGGCTGCAATGAAAGGTAAGCTGGAA